TATATATATATATATATATTTATTGATTATTCACGTAATACATTAATTAATAATTTATTTTTATTAATAATTAATTTTTCACGTCAACTTTCATATAATATATCCTTAATAAATGTTAATAATTAACACATTACATTAACATTAACGGTTAATATGTTATGTAAATTATCAACTTATGACATTAGTAGTTAATTTGCAATGTTAGATACTCAACAAAGGAAATGATAAAAATGTATAATTTTAAAAGTTAAATGATAAAAATATAATTTAAAAAATAAAATATTAAAATTTGCAAAATCATGAACAAGAGAGATATTAAGTGTGATCAAGTGTATCTAATTTAAAGAAAAGATAAAAACTTACTTGGTGGGGACATTGTATTCTGGGTATTTTTCATTAAGTAATTTGGCAATCTCATGAATAGTAGTGTCACATGCACTGCATATGTACCTCCCTTCAACTTTTGGCTGTTCAAACAGAAATATGTGAGCAAGACACAGATCATCTAAGTGCACGAATTGACCTTGCTTTATGATCGAATAATGGCCCTCGTTTCCTGCAATAATTTTTTAGTACGACTTCAGCATATAGATGCATATAATTAATTTCTTTAATTAGTTCCCACGAGAATCATTATTATTTTTTTATATATATGTACCAGTTATAGGCGAAAGAGCAGTGATAAGGCTCGGTGGCATTGTTGGCATGAGAAAGGGGCCAACCACAAGAGGTGGAATGACAGTGATGAAGTCCAAGCCATGTTCTTTGGCAAATTTCCATGCTTCTTTCTCCGCCATGGTTTTAGACACGAAATACATCTAAATTCATACCAACACAAAAATAAAATTTGCATGAAAAGAGAGTGGATATATTTTACTTTATATATATATATATATATATATATATATATATCATTCGGATTTATCCCTTTTCTTTGACAAATCCGAACGGGTTTACTTCGGATTTGTGCTGCTTTCTTTGACACATCCGAACGGGTTTGCTTCGGATTTGTGCTCTTTTTTGGACAAAACCGAACAAACTTGTTTCGGATTTGGGCCTTTTCTTTGACAAATCCGAACAAGCTTACTTCGGATTTATCCCTTTTGTTTGACAAATTCGAACGGGTTTACTTCGGATTTGTGCTGTTTT